GCTGTGATGATGCCGTCCTCGCCGTCAATGAAGACGGCGTCGTGGACGTCGTCGCCGAAGCCCTCGACCTTAGCCAGCAGCGTCAGCTTGCGATCACCGGTGGTGCGCTGCCCGCCCACGGCTGGCTTAATCTCGGCTGCCATTGTCAGCGGCAAAAGAGGCCCTCACACTTGGCCGAGAAGAAGACAGTACAATTTGGGGAAGAACTCTGGTTTTACGCAGCTTCGGATTAGATGGACAGGCCGGCGCTAACTTTGAGTAAAATGAAGGAATTGGCTGCTTCTGTATTAGTCGTCTCTCTGTAAAGAACCACACATTTATTTATATGTATGATTGATGTTATACACATACATGCCTGACACACCACACTGGTGCAAAAATACATTTTGCCTTTTATGTTTATGTGTTAACAAAGTGAAAGTAAATATATGCACATCATAATTGTGTATGCTGTGTAAAATCTGCTGCTCTCAGTTTGCTGTTGACTTATCATTACTAGATGCTCAACTGAACCATGGATTAGGTATTCCTGGATGTGACACTCCGCCGATTTTCCGACCAAGCACGACAGCGAGGGCGTAGGCGCCATTTAGCATTGCGTGCTATGGGCGGATGGTGTCTAATAGTTCCGTATGTGATAGTGACTAAATGGAGCCATCATAATTATTAGAAAGGACTAAAAATATGTTTGAACTTTGAAGTGTCTGAAATCATGTCATACGAGCCAAAGCTCGCTAATTTTGCTCTCCATTACCGCGTTTTCAGCACGCACGCTGGTGCGGCGGCCGCCGGTGCACTCGCCACCGATGTTTCGGCGCTCCGCCACCCGGGCGGCCGCTTGGTCGCCGGCGCTAGTATAGGGGAATAGGGAGTGTCCTATCCCTAAGGGCCCCATTGCAGCCTCTAGGCGATAGGTATCGCCGAAGCGCTATCAATGGCCCATAAGTGTTGTGCCGCTCCCTGTCTTGCCCCCCACCCCCCGCTTCACTGGCCATGGCTAGATTTCTGCACCCATGCACTACGCCTGTGGGCCCTTTTAAGCTAGCACCCCTGGGTCAGCGCAGGGGCCCCTCAGCCAAGTTACCCCCCCCCCTCCAAGCCAAGTCTGCGACCACCTCTGGTAGGTTGTGGGCTAGGAGGTAAAAGGCTAGGTCAGTTTAACATGCTTTTTACCTTCACTCGGACTCCTCACTTTAACCAAACTTTTACCATTATATTAGTTTTGTCTCATCAAAAGTGCAGACTTCCTATTTCTCTCGCAAAAGTCCTAGGTCTAGTTTGGTGCAGGCAGGCTAGTGTGAGTGGTGTGGATTTGTCACCCTAGCTTTTGCAGTGTCTCAAAAATTGCCAGCTTGGTTGGGAAATGCCATCCAAATGAAACTAATTTTCCACTCCTACCTCCAATTTTCCATAACATTTTTTTCATTCCCAATTTCACCCATAAAAACAGTTGTGTGTACTTTCTGGCTAACTTTTAACAACCTCCATATTTCCTTCAATTACCTATCTTATAAACCAATGTCCCACATCCTAGAGCATTCATATTTAAATTGATAATCCATGTTTTCCATTCTTTTGCATGCCATTTTGACTTACAATTTTGACTCTCAGCCCTCTGTGCAGTGAGGAATATCCCCTTCTGACACCCATGACCCAAGCCAAAATATGATTTTGGGACACTGAGCTTTTGAGTCTTGTAGACCCTGCTGCCGCCCTTTGCAGCATTGCCCATAAGTCAATGATTTACCGAAATTAAAATCATTTCAGGGACAGATGGGAAATGTGACCGTACCTTCTGAGTTAGCATTTAGTCCGCGGATAGTCAGCTTCACAGGTCACAGGTATCTGTCTCAGTCTGTAAGAATCTTGCACAGGTCAAGGTAGAGTCATATTCAACCTCACATCCCACCTCCTCTGTCCGTCCTCAGACCTCAGTCCTCACATTCTTTCCACAGTTCCACACACTCTAGAAAGTGTTCAAGAGTTTCTGTACTTTCCTGCACAATGGATAGATCTCATTTCACTCAGTAGGTATGTCTTCTTTAAGTTTTGTGGTGAGAAGCGACAGCTCTGTTGGTAGTAGTATCCTCGTGCCTATCGCTTGTCTGCCGATAGACGCGTTTACATAGGGTTTGTTGCAAGCTTATATCTCCGTCCGTGATGTTGCAAAAGATGCCAATGGTGCTTAACAATTTACAAAATGATCCCCTCTAAATATTTGAAGACCACTGCAACAAACTTTGGTATTAGTATATATTAGGTCCGAGTGGACAATTGTGACGCTGTTGATACAAATATGTAACAGCAAAAAATTTAGGTTTTAGGTTAGGTTAGGTTGTAGGTTTGTAGGTTTTAGGTTAGGTTAGGTTGTAGGTTTTAGGTTTTAGGTTGGTAGGTTTGTAGGTTTTAGGTTGTATGGTTTGTAGGTTGTAGGTTTGTAGGTAAATAGGTAGGTAAGGTTAGGTCAGGTTTGATTATGTTTTCCTTTTATTTCCAGGACATATAAGTATCATTTTTGGATTCAGGATGTCAAATAATGTAAGAATATGAAAACTTTATCTTTAAACAGTCACTCGGACTTAAAGGGACCCTCCCACCTTCAAAAAAGTTAATGAATTGGCACGAAAGTGATGTCGCTCGGTTCAGAAAGAGCGAAAACGAATATCTACCAAATTTCATCGAAAAATATTCACCGGTTTTCAAGATATTAGACTTTTACTTTTGTTTACTCTTTGGGATCTCCGCTGTTCCTAGCGACTTTATTTGAAAGTGCGGCATTTGTTGCGCGCAAAGCAGCATATACCACCGCGTGCTACCAAACGTTTTAGTAAAAGATTTAAAAATCGTTAGATCTCCGCTGACGTCACAAATTCTAAGGGGGCATACCAATGCACTAGCCCCTTAGAATCCGAAAACTGCAAGTTTGAAATTCCATATCTCCGAATTAAAGCATTTGTCGATGTTGTGAGTGCCCAAACCGGTATTTGCAGGCCATGGCCACCAATTTGGCTATCTCAACTCAAAACTAATGTTAAGGTGGGAGTGTCCCTTTAATGAATAGTTTTATCCAAACTTGTTGCCAAAGGGCCTGTTCCAGCGCCTCCAGTAGAAATTCTTGACTGGAGGCTCTACCAGAGGTTTCACTGGAGGCGCTGGAACGCATACTGGAGATTTCTGGAGATTAGCGCCATTAGATACCAAAAGAATGACGATTGTTCTCTCTTGAAACGCAAAATTTGTTTTCAATTTTAGTAAAAAAGATTAACAAAATTATAGCAAGGTAATTTTCTTTACATTCAAATTGTAAAATCATCAGTCAAAAGTTTTTTGCTTACATTCGTGATTGTCACATGTGCGCCATAATTGTAGACCAGAGCCTCCAGAGAAATTTGGACCTCCCAACTCTGGAGGCTACTGGAGGTTTCTGGAGCTTTGGCGAGAGCTTTCTGGAGCTTTCTGGAGGCGCTGGAACGCTCTCTGGAGGATTCTAGAGCTTTCTGGAGGTTTCTGGAGGTTTCTGGAGGTGCTGGAACAGGCCCTAACGAGAGCTGCAACCTCACCAAACCTCACCTGAGGGGTGTTCACGGGCACCGCACACTGCTGCGTGCGGTGTGTGCGGTACGTCCAGCAGGCGTGGGGGTAGGGGATGGGTAGGCGGCTCTGACGTCACGGCTGCGTGCGGTGGACGGTCCGCTGTGGCCAGTCCCGACCGGCCACAGCGATCGCTGTGTGCGGTGACGGAATGCTGGCGTAGGGACGCAGTGGGCGGAGCTTGTAGGCCAAGTTGGAGGCTGTGTGCGGTCCGACCGCACACAGGGCCCGTGAACAGCCCTCTGGGCTCTGACCTCGTCAAATATGCTATGTAAGCCTATGTATGCTCAGTCTGGTACCAAGAGTATGGTACCTTGTTGAACAAAGCAAGATCACTTTACTTATATCAATAGTAAAAGAGTAATGGGAGTTCTATAGCCTTGGTAATGTCAACAAATGGTCAACAAGTCAACAATCAACAATCAACAATCAACAATGGTCAACATAAATAATAAAGTACTTGTAGACGGTACAAGAAGCATTAAAAGTCGTTAAAATACTGGAAATCGAAATCATTTAAAAACTGTAAAGACATATGTGTTAACTTTAAAGCTTCTTTTGTATAATGATAACGTAAGCGAGAAAAATGAGCAGTAAAAACCAGGGTATATAGAACAACGTTGGAACAACGGGTACACCAACGACGCGGAAAGCGCCCATTTTAGCTGGATGAGTTACATGGTAGGTGATATATTTTTTGAATATGGAAAAAATAGAGTATTCTATTCTGCGGAGTAAAGCCAAATTCATAAAGCAGTTATTTTTAAATTATATGTACCAGAAATAACATACTGACCATAGTTTAAAACTTAGTCTCAAGTTAGTTGAAAAGCGTATAGTTGATACTAAGATGGAAGGAATCAATGGAAGGCGGAAATGGCGCAGCTGTTTCATTCTTAAAATGTGTTCGCAAGCAGGATTTTCGTGATGCTAGCGACATCTATTAATGTAATCGGGGACGCTGATTGGCTGACCGAGTCCGTGAGCAGTATCACTGATGTACGCCAGTACAGGGTTGAGGCAATGTGCGCATGCGCAGGAGCTTGTGCTCTCTTGGAGGGGCTTTTGCCTTTTGGTACCTCGGGCAGCGCCCAATGCTTTTTGGACCTGTTATGGCCTCCGCATCGAAAAACGCTAGATAAAAAGGTTGCAGAGGAAGCTTGAGGCTACCTTTCCCCACAATAATATTGGCTTTTTATCTTTTAGCTTACGTGTGAGGCTCGCTTGAAAAAGGTCGATTTAACATGGAAACCCTATGGGGTAGTAGTTTTTGAGCGCCCATTTGGCCTAATGCTACCAACTGTTACTGGCTACCCCTGGGGTAAAAACAAATGCATTCTTTTTAAAAGTAACTGTGGAGAAGGAAACGATTCATATCCTGCGCATTGCATACGGTTCCGAATTATATTGGTTATCTTTTGAAATTCATTGGAAATCCACATCACATTCTCAACACCTTCGAGTGTGAATTTTCAACCATTAGTTAACATTGTTAGCACTCTTTAGCCATTATTGTCCTGGGTACGCCACTCTTTAGCCATTAGCTCCTTTTTGATTATAGGTGATTGGAATGCTAATCTAGGGTTGCAAGGACAGAATATGTTTGCAAAACATATGCTTGAGTTTTGCAAAGATCACACTCTGAACATTTCAAGCTTTACCATGCTGCCACCAGATAGCTTTTCTTTTGTAAGTGATAGCTGGGGTTCAAAATCCTGGTTGGATCATGCAGTCTCAAGTGTGGACCTGCATAGAGTAATAACAGAGATGCATATAGATTATGGCATATCCCAAGATGACCACATGCCTTTGTGCCTCACTCTTTCAGTGGATCAACTCCCGGAGGTCACTGATGATGAACATTTTCATGCAGTTGTCAATTGGGACAACTTCAGCACCAGTGCCTTGCTAAAGTTCAATGAATTAACAGATGAGTACTTAAAAGATGTACCGATGCTTCCAGGTTTGACATGTGCTGAAGGGAATTGCAAGTTAAAGGAGCACATGAATGATATAAATGAGACATATGAGCAAATAATTGATTGCCTGCGAATAGCTAGCCATGAGATGATGCAGAGAGACAGGAAACATTCACACCCTCAAGGTAAGCCTGGTTGGAATAGATTTGTAAAAGACAAGTATGATCATTCTAGGGAAACATTTCTGCTATGGAAAGCATCTGGAATGCCTCGGGATGGTCCCATCTATCAGGCACACATTCAAGCTAAGCTTGAATGTAAAAGAGCGATACGCTTCATCAAAAGGTATGAAAACGAATTACGACAAGAGTCTTTGGCTTCAAAATTTGTTGATAAGGATGTTAAGAGTTTTTGGAAGGAAGTAAGCAATGTCAAAGGAGCAAAGATTCCGAGACCAAATACAATTAATGACGTATCTGGTGAAGCTAACATTGCTTCTTTATGGCAAACACATTTTAAGGATCTGCTTAACTCCGTGCCAGATAGCATGACAGACAAAGATAACGTATGGAATACAGAAGAGGATAATGAAATAGTACCTGTTACTGTTGAGGAGGTCAGGCATGCTTTGTTCGAGCTGAAAAAGGGTAAGGCAGGTGGTCCCGATCAAATATCTCCTGAGCATCTCCTACATGCTTCACATAGGCTTGTGACATTACTATGCTTGTGTTTCAATGCTTTCCTTCTTCATGGTTTCCTCCCAAGGTCTTTGATGACGGTGAGCATTGTTCCAATAGTAAAGAACAAAGCTGCTTCAATCACGGAAATGAATAATTATAGACCTGTGGCAACCCCTAATATGGTGAGTAAGCTTTTCGAGGTAGTACTGCAAAAACGACTTCAGAATTATTTGTTGACACAGGACAACCAGTTTGGCTTTAAAAAGAACCTTGGTACAGACCAATGCATTTACACTTTGAAAGAGATAGTTGAAAAGTATAAGTCAATGAATAGCATTGTCCATCTGTGTTTTCTTGATGCAAGCAAGGCGTTTGACCGTGTTAATCATAAAATTCTCTTTCAGAGGCTTTCAGAGAGAGGTGTTCCTTATGTGTACCTAAGATTGCTTGCGTTCTGGTACCAAGAGCAAGAAATGGTCATTAAATGGGGATCCACTTTTTCAGAAAAGTTTAAAGTGTCCAATGGTGTCCGGCAGGGAGGTATCTTGTCACCTCCCCTTTTCAACGTGTTTATAGATGAGTTGTCTAGCAGATTAAATGAAATGGGCATAGGTTGTCTTATAGGTCGGAAATTGGTCAATCACCTGATGTATGCTGATGATGTGGTGCTTATCTCTCCATCAAGTGCAGGGATGCAAAAACTGTTGAATGTGTGCCATGAATTTGGTATGGCAAATGATGTTGTGTATAATAGTTCAAAAAGTGTTGCAATGTCATGTAGATCGAAGGGGATGAGGAATGTCAAAAATAAAATACCTGATTTTATGTTAGGACCCATGCCGTTAGTATGTGTTGATAAAGTTAAATATCTTGGGCATATCATAGAGGAAGACATGACTGATGATCTAGATATTGCCAATCAGAACAAAGGTTTATTTGTCAGAGGGAATATGATCATAAGGATGTTTCACATGTGTACTGTAGATGTCAAACTGAAACTATTTGAGACTTACTGTTCATCGATGTACTGTGCACACCTGTGGTGGAACTATAGGAAGGCAACTATGAATCGACTCATTGTGAGCTATCACAACCTTCTTAAACGACTTATCGGGTTATCGAAATTTGAGAGTACGAGTATGACATGTGCATATTTTAGAGTGCTGAATTGTGAAAGCGTGTTCAGGAAACTTATTTATAAGTTTCTGAGAAGACTTGAACAAAGCCCCAATAGCATCATTGAAGCAATCAATTCAGGGGATCTCCGTTTCAGATCAAAACTGAGACGCTTTTGGCTCAGTAAGCTCTATTGTCATGCTGTGCTACATTGAATGTGCATCGACTGGGAGTGTGCCTTAATCGATGTTTGTTGTTCATCCATCATCCATCTGGTACATCCATCATCAACTCATAGCAATGGACTGTTAGTCTGAAATACAAATCTATCTATCTATCTATCTATCTATCTATCTATCTGGGATCCATGGTAATGGTTAACACTTAAAAGGGCAGGTACATAAACCATATCAACATAGTGATAGATACTGTGCCCTAATCAATATCAAGCAAGACAAAGAGGCATTAGAAGTTATTTCTCACAAACAAAGACAATACAATGACAAAGTACATTAATTCAGACATTTAGACAAATTTAGACTTAACACCGGTCTTTTATTTTCCACTGACGAAGGCGCTTTGTTGATTGATCGAAACGTCTGATTTTATTTACATTTGTCGTATTGTAAATTTTCAATTGTCTGTGAGGAAAAACAATGTAACTCTTCTATTAAAACTACTTGCAAAACAAGAAGAAAAGTAGGAAGAGTCTTGGGAAGAGTGGGGCAAAGCGGCCACCTTAAAGCTTCTTATGATGCTGACGTTTGATTTTTGAATTTGGAAGGAAAGGAACTTTCTAAACCAATGTGATCCCTATTAAAGGGACCCTCCCACCTTAACATTAGTTTTGAGTTGAGATAGCCAAGTTTGCGGCCAGGCTCAGAAACCACCATTTATCCTGGTCGCAACCCCCGCAGCTTTATGGTGTTCAAGAAATTTCTTCCCTTTACTTGCAGGGTGGGACCAGCGTGGTCCCTATCTCTTAACCATTACGGGAATCTGATGACGTCATCAGGCTTTCGAACGTCCGTTAAATGTTTGACTAAAACGTTTTGTAGCACGCGGTGGTATATGCTGCTTTGCGCGCAACAAATGCCGCACTTTCAAATAAAGTCGCTAGGAACAGCGGAGATCCCAAAAAGTAAACAAAAGTAAAAGTCTAATATCTTGAAAACCGGTGAATATTTTTCGATGAAATTTGGTAGATATTCGTTTTTGCTCTTTCTGAACCGAGCGACATCACTTTCATGCCAATTCATTAACTTTTTGAAGGTGGGAGGGTCCCTTTAAATTGTCTTTTATTTCAACCATTTCATAATTCATTTCCATTCATTTGGGTGATTGTGAGCTGGGGACCCCAGTTTGGCTATCTCAGCTCAAATCCGATGCCAAAGGTGGGATGGTTGCCTTAACCCTATTCCTGGCGGGGGGGGGGGGCCTCAGGAGCCCCCCCCCCTGAGGTTTTTTGGTTATATCTCCCAAACGCGTTGAGCTAGGAAGCTCAAATTTTCTGACTTTTCCTAAATGGCTTCTACGCAACATGTCTGAAAATTTTGAGTTGATCTGACCTCAGGTCAGGTCACCAGAGGCGGTTTGGTGACGCTACCTCAGAAAAGTTTGCAATCACGCCAGAGCTAGAGTTTTTGACCGATCAATTTCTTCTCTTCAGGGTTTAGTTAGGGTACCAGTATGTGCAATTTGTATATCTCGGAATTTTGATATCGGTGACCTAAGGTCAGGTCAATTTCGCGACCTCCCCATTATAAGTCAATGGGGGAAAAATCAACTCCCTGTTTTTACCACTAAAACGGGTCGGAATGGCCCCATATACCATACATGACTTCATATACGATCAACCTTCACTACCTTGAGGTCTGTTTTGCTGTTGGGCAGCTGTGAGGTCATGTGACGTCATCAAAGGTCACCAAAGGTTTTTGGCCAATAACTCCGTACAGGAACAAGATACAGACGCGTGGATGGTCTCATTGTGTTCAGCTCGTCAAGACGCATCGAATGATATACATGATGACCTCGAGGTCACGTGACCTGAGGTCAACCTTTGACCTTGACCTTTCGAGGTCAACATATATATCATTCGATGCGGATTGACGAGAGGATCACGATGATGCCCTTAGTTTGTTCCTATCTTGACTAATTCGAAAGTTATTCGAGAAAAACTCTCTCCATATCTAGTGCCGCCATTTTGACTTTTTCGACTCCTGTGACGTCATCTTTGACCTGACCTGAAAATGACCTTAGTAAAAATTGTAGATCTTGGCCGTGCGTATCCGATGCCGTTTACCGCTTGTCGCTATCTTGCTTCGTTCTCGAGATCTCAGGGGGGGGCCGAATCGGCCCCCCCCCGCCAGTTTCTTGTCCCGGCGGAGCCCGCCAGGAATAGGGTTAAGTATGATAAAACTCTTTGCCACATTTCAAGGCAGCTAATGTTTCTTAACATGTAAATGATGTTACTTTGTTCACAGGCTGGGTAAAAATAGTATTGACCCATGAAGAAGGCAGTTTCTCCTGCCTCAGGACAGGCTGATAGCAGTAACATTGCAGACGGCAAGGATACCAATAAGGTACGTATTTTATGTTACTTGAATGCCCCTTCACCTAAGATATCATATAAAGCAATTACCCCCAACATTTTTGCTGCTGTAATGGTGAATGATAAACCAGTAAAACGCGTTTTGGGCGAAGAACGAGCGAGCGAGATAGTGAGCCCTGCATGTGCGGAAGGGCGAGAGGGTACTTCCAACGGGCTTGTGCAAAGCACCCTTTTAACCGGTCGCTAGCAGTGTGCCAAATTTGAACGCAATCAGCCCAGCCGTCCCTGAGATCTGGAAACAGCATTCTGCACTTGCGCACGTGCAAACAGGGTCCAAACTGACTTTCGCACGGCACCCTACTAACCGGTCCCCAACCGTGTACCAAATTTGAGCGCAATCAGCCCAGCCGTTCCCGAGATCTGGAAGCGCCCCCTGCACGTGCGCACGTGCGGTAGCACCCCGACCGCAACACATAGGAATGCATTGCCTGGTGGGTGCCTACCTGTATTGGTATGCCAAGTTTCAGCGAAATCGCCCCAGTAGTTACCGAGTAATTGAAATGGGAACAAATTTGGCACCTCTTCTTTTTGTATTTTGCACGTGCAGTGGGGGTCACTCACATAGATCAAAAGTATCCGACCTTTGGTAGAAGGGATGGCGATGCAGCTACCCTACAAAAATTACCGCGAGACAATCGCCCAAGCGGCTGCTGAGATATGAGCCTCTCAAAATCAGTACTTTTGCAAAACAGCTTGAACACCCTTGGCTTTTCACGTGGCACGTGCCACGACGGTCACTAGGATGTATCAAAAGTAGTCAATTACGGGGTAGAAGGGATGTGGCTACCCAGCAAAAAAGACCGCAGGCCAATCGGTCCAGCGGTTGCTGAGATATAAGCCTCTCAAAAGCGTTACAGGCCGGGCCGGGCCGGGCCGCTCATACTGAGATTTTCCCCTTATATTGAAAAGACTTCGCTTCGCTCGCTGCGCTCGCTCGCTCGTAATTACTGCAATTTTTTGCTTTCCAGCTAAGGGAGCTGCAGATACTGGATGCTGAACTAGGAAGCTTAAAGAGGGGATCTGTAAGTATTTTTTAGTATTTGTTATATTTACATGAATACATTTGATAGATAGACGTCGTTATAGCGATACAGTACAGAGGTCTATGATTGATATTTAATGAACTTATTTTGCCTGTACAAATACCTAAAAACAGCTTGTAATAAAAGCTTGTTTGCAGTAGCGGCGGAACACCTTCAATCAAGGGGGGGAGGGGCACTGCCGGCTTTTGGTCCCATTCTTTCCACGCAACGCCCATAGAGCTAATGTTAAACTGCCAAAATCAAAGGGGGGCACAGTGCCCCGATGCCCTCCCTGTTCCGCCGCCTATGCTTGTAAGTTGTATGTGTATAACGTCAGCCTGCTGATACTTGTTCTGTGTGTTGGCCAGCGGGTATACATTCAGCAGCCCAACAGCCAGGTGTTCTTCTTGGGAAAGCTGCCAGAGGTGCGTTCTTCAGTGAAACAGGAGCTCAAGTCGCATGGTAACGTGACGCTGACGCAATGAACAAGGAGATCGTCAAGATAAACCAGTGGCTGGTGGACACGCTTGGCACAGCGGACGTGCCTGCCTACGAAGTGGACCGGCGCACGCTGTCGCTGTTGCAGCAGTTGCAAGCAACTGTCGACGCCAATGACGAGCACGCACGCCGGCTAACGGAGCACCTGCGCGTCACGCGCGCCGCGTACGCCGCCGAGCAGCGCCGACTGGAGGCGGCGCAGCGCCGTCTGGGCGTGGAGCGTGTCCACCTGGCGTCCGACTCCCAGCGTGTGCTCTCGGCGCTGGCGCACTCGGCGCAGCTGCTCGGCCTGGACCGACCGAGTCCGGCCGGTTTGCTGCTGGAGCACGCCCGCCTCGAACGGGAGCAGCAGGCGCTGGCCGCGCGACTGGAGCGCGAACAGGCCGGGCTGCGCGGGCAGCAGGCCGACGTGAAGCAGCTGCTGGTGCAGGAGGCGGCGCTGGAGCGGCAGCTCACCGAGGCGGCCGCGCAGCAGGGCGCCGACGAGGCTGTCATTCAACAGAAACTGGCCAAATCGCGCTTCCTTTCCGGAAAGATGCAGGAGTACAAGAGTCTCGTGAGAAAGCAAGAGGGCATTCTCGCCCAGCGAGGATTCTCTGAGGAGCTGACGCACGACATGATTTTGCGGCGTTTCGAGTTTCTGACGCAGAAGCGCGGCTCTCTGGAGCAGCTGCAGCTGAAACTGAAGCAGTTCGGAGAACTGCCACCCGATGCCGACCTGGCGCGGGTGAAAATCGCCGAAATGGAAGCAGAGCTGGAGAAGCTGGAGGCCCAGTTCAATGACAAGATTCATGGTATACATACAGCCGGATCGAGCGGATAAGCACGACGGTCCTTATAGCGTTTTCCGGCTTTGTTTTTAGGCAGTTATTCAAGGCCGAAAGTTCACCGTTGGTCGCTCACTCCGCCAATGTAACACTTCAATAATGTGCGCTCGCTGTTTGTAACAAAATAAATGTTTAGATGCTTATGGATTACCATGAATTACTTGCTTTTGTTATTTTTCTTTTTTTTACAAAATTTTGGTAAGTGTTTTGGAATGTGTGTGCAACATGGTACTACATAGCTACACCCTCGGATGTTCTATGTACCTATGTCTAAGCGTTTGCGAAATTTGTTAAAATGCCCATCCCACCTTAACCCTAGAACGCCTAGGGGGGGTTGTATCAACCCCCCCCCCCTGAGGTTTTTTCGAAGTGCACGCTAAACGGCTTGTCGTAGCGGGCTGAAATTTTCAATACCCTCTGGGGCAACCTTTGCGCATCTTTTGCCGAAAAAAATTGATCGGGTCATGTCAGGTCACGGAGTTATGACGTCATAAGAGGTACAGCCTCCGGCCGACAGTTACCAAACGTGTGCGCCGAATCCCTAGGTTTTCTGCCGGTGATACCCACATTGTTTGATGGATCATGATGAAACTTCCCATGCATGTTGGGGCAAGCATTGGCTATCGTGTGGTGCAAGAAAATTGACCGGGTCAGGTCAGGTCACGGAGTTATGACGTCATAAGAGGAACAGCGTCCGGTACTATTTTTGAAAAGCGCCCGAACCACTATTTTGCTAATTCTTGTCACCTCAATGGGAATATGCAGCAATATTAGCTTCTATAAGGAGCAAATGGACCTTCCAAATCCAAAAATACAATCAGATTTCAAAAATTTAAATTTTGATTTTTCGAATTTCTGCCGCCGACTGTGACCTTGCCGACTTCCGGCGCTCCCAACGCGCCATTTTTAGAGCTAGGGAAACGAAATACATACCAAACGATAGGGAATTGATCAAGGAATACGATAGTGAAGGTTTCAAGTCGATATCTCCCACCGTTTTGCCGCAATCGCCGCGGAAAGTTGAAACAAGTCTATTTTTCCGAAAATTTGACCTTTGACCGGTCAAAAGTAGGTCAAATGTTGACCTAGGACCAAAAAATATACCACCAATCGCGAGATCTCGTTGAGAGCAATCCGTTGGTTTTTTCCGCTAAGCTCTACGACCTTCCGTTTCGAAACGCCAGGGGGGGGGTAACAACCCCCCCCCCCCCCCCCTGGTCGTTCGTGTTATGAGAAATGGCCTGGTCGTGCGAGGGTTAACATTGGATTTGAGGTGAGATAGCCGAATTGGGGTCCCTGGCCCTGAACCCACAATCACCGGTTTCGACTTTCGGCACTCTTAACATCAAGAAATGCCTGAAATAGAAAATATTGAACTTCAAAGTTGCAGCACTTGGATTTAGAGGGGCTGATAAGTAATACATTTGAATCCCCCTCTGACTTTGTGACGTCAGCGCAGATCTAGCGATTTTAAATCCGGAGCTTAACCCGGCCGTGCCCGGGGGTAATCCCACGGGCGGTTCTCCCATATAGGCAAGGTAGGCAGTGGCGTAGCCAGGGGGCACGGGGGCACGTGCGCCCCCCCCCCCCCATCGGGTCAAGGAGGCCCCTCGGGCCCGAGGAGCCCTGCGGCGCCAACTGGCCGTTGAGTGTCCATACCGGCCAAATTTAGACCCAGAAGGGCCCCACAGAGCTTACAAGAGCACCTCATGGGCCCCTTAGTAGCCAAACGAGGATCCCCATCGGGCCCCTTGCCGGCCTTTGAGAGCCCCTTGGCGGCCTCTGAGGGCCCTTATCGGCCTATTAGTACCCCTTACCGGCATGAGGGCCGCTTGCCGGCCTCTGGGAGTCCTTACCGGTCCATGAGGGGCCAGCTCTATGGGCCCACCTGTAATAGCCCCGCACCAATGTCTCTGAGTGCCCCATAACAGCGACTGTGAGGGCCCTCACCAGCGCCTCTAAGGGCCCACAACGGTCTCGAAGGTCCCCCACACGGGCCCGAGGGGCCCTGTGGCGCTAGTTGGCCGCTAGACTCCACACTGACCATATTTCGACTCAGACGGGCCCCACAGGGCTCGTAAGAGCACCTCACGGGCCCGTAAGTAGCCACACTAATATCTCCATAAGAGCCCACGCCGGCTTCTGGGGGCACCTTGGCGGCCTCTGAGGGACCCTCGACGGTCTCTACCGGCCTCAGGGCCATTGCGGGCCTGAAGTCCCTTACTGGCCTATTAGGGACCAGCTCTAGAGGCCCCACACCTGTCTCAGATGGTCCCACACCAATATCTCTGAGGGCCCCATAAGGGCGACTGTGAGGGCCCTCACCGGTGCCTCTGAGGCCCCAAACCGGCCTAGAAGGGCCCACATACGGGCCCGAGGGGCCCTGTGGCGGCAAATGGCCGCTGATGGTTTACTGGTCATATTTCTGGTTATATTTCGACTCAGAAGGGCCGAACAGGGCTCGTAAGGGCATTTTATGAGTCCCTAAGTAGCCACACTGAGATCTCCATAAAGCCCCTACGCTGACTTCTGAGGGCCTTTGCTGGCCTCTAAGGGCCCTTACGGGCCTATTAGGGACCGACTCTAGTGGCCTCACACCCGCCTTATTTTAACGGTCAAAACAGCGGCCGATGTCGGTCCGACGTCGGCCCGACGTCGGCTGGACCTCAGCAATTGATCTCGGTCCGACGTCGGCCCGACGTCGGCTGGACCTCGGCTGGACATCGGTACATGCGGGCATATCCGACATCCAGCCGACGTTGTGCCGAGGTTGGACCGACGTCGGGCCGACGTCGGCATGCCGATGCCGAGTTGCCGACGTCACCCCGACGTCGGCCGACGTCGGGCCGACGTCGGCATGTTTACTGGGGAAACGTCATAGAAACGGGAAACTGAGTGAAAACCCTTTTTAGACATTTTACTTCCATTTGCCAGAAGATGAGACTTAACCCGCGCGGGGCTGGGGTCTCCAGCCGAACGCGCGGGGCTGGGGGGGGGGGGGTAAATTTTACCCCCCCCCCTGTTATCTCCCGAACTAATGGTCCGATTTGGAAAATTCAAACGCCAATCGAAAGCTCTCATCACGAACTACTAAAAACATGTACTTAATTTAAAGTTTGAGGTCAAGGTCAAGGTCAGGTCAAGGGTACAAATTGCAACTTTCTACAGTATCGGCCTTGCACCGTAGTTGCCGAAGAATGGAGTCATGGACTGAGACTGATCGCCCAAAACGTGTTCTTAGGCTACCAAGACAATATTCGTTGCATACAACATCATTCAGAGGTCAAGGTCAAGGTCAGGTCAGGTCAGGTCAGGTCACCAAAAAACAAAATATAGAAAAGGGCATGTGCGACACATGTTTTATGGGTCATTCTACTCATAGAATTCAATAGGCACACTCAATAAGTGATATGGACCACCTCTGGATGAATTTCAGGTCGAGGTCAGGTCAAGGTCAGGTCAAAAGAGGTCAAATTTTGAAGTTGGTTGTTAACCCTATTCCTGGCGGGGGGGGGGGGGCCTCAGGAGCCCCCCCCCCTGAGGTTTTTTGGTTATTTCTCCCAAACGCGTTGAGCTAGGAAGCTCAAATTTTCTGACTTTTCCTAAAAGGCTTCTACGCAACATGTCTGAAAATTTTGAGTTGATCTGACCTCAGGTCAGGTCACCAGAGGCGGTTTGGTGACCCTACCTCAGAAAAGTTTGCAATCACGCCAGAGCTAGAGTTTTTGACCGATCAATTTCTTCTCTTCAGGGTTTAGTTAGGGTACCAGTATGTGCAATTTGTATATCTCGGAATTTTGATATCGGTGACCTAAGGTCAGGTCAATTTCGCGACCTCCCCATTATAAGTCAATGGGGGAAAAATCAACTCCCTGTTTTTACCACTAAAACGGGTCGGAATGGCCCCATATACCATACATGACTTCATATACGATCAACCTTCACTACCTTGAGGTCTGTTTTGCTGTTGGGCAGCTGTGAGGTCATGTGACGTCATCAAAGGTCACCAAAGGTTTTTGGCCAATAACTCCGTACAGGAACAAGATACAGACGCGTGGATGGTCTCATTGTGTTCAGCTCGTCAAGACGCATCGAATGATATACATGATGACCTCGAGGTCACGTGACCTGAGGTCAACCTTTGACCTTGACCTTTCGAGGTCAACATATATATCATTCGATGCGGATTGACGAGAGGATCACGATGATGCCCTTAGTTTGTTCCTAGCTTGACTAATTCGAAAGTTATTCGAGAAAAACTCTCCATATCTAGCGCCGCCATTTTGACTTTTTCGACCCCTGTGACGTCATCTTTGACCTGACCTGAAAATGACCTTAGTAAAAATTGTAGATCTTGGCCGTGCGTATCCGATGCCGTTTACCGCTTGTCGCTATCTTGCTTCGTTCTCGAGATCTCAGGGGGGGGGGGGCCGAATCGCCCCCCCCCCCCGCCAGTTTCTTGTCCCGGCGGAGCCCGCCAGGAATAGGGTTAAGGCCTAAAAAGGTGTCTATCTGATGCAGTTTTTCACGGCGAATCGAATGGTGCTATTTTTGTTCCCGTACAAGGTCTAGAACTTCCAAAAAAGTCATTTTTCAAAAAATTTGTGTGTCCTGACGTCATAAAATTTTGAATAACTCCCACATTTTTGAGCCGATTCTTCTAAAATTTGGTATGTAGGTGCACATAGATCACTTCTCTGACATATATTCCGGTTTTTTTGATAGACTCAAAATTTTGGATTTTATAATGATTTTCCCCAAAAAATCAGTTTTTTGAAAACATTTAGGCCAAAATCCAAAATTTTCAAAAAACCGAGATAGCCATTTGATAGACAAAGTAAAATTACGTATAACCTTTTTTGTTACGTCTTGATTCCTTTAAAAATGAAGATGTTAGCGGCTTTTGAACTTTTGCCGTTTTTGAGGCGAAAATGGCGAACATGACGTCACTAAAACGTCAATTTCTCAAAAATTTTCCGACGGATTTCGCTCAAATTTTCAGGGAACGTGTCAAATTGATGTAAGAAAAGGTACTGAAAGTTTGGCGGCGCTGCGCGCCGCCGTTTTTGAGATATCGCAAAAATTCGCGAGGGGGGGTAAAATTTACCCCCCCAGCCCCGCGCGGGTTAAACCTGATTCAACA